CTTCCTTCCTTCCTTCCTTCTCTCTCTCTCTCTCTCTCTCTCTCTCTCTCTCTCTCTCTCTCTCTCTCTTTTTCTTTTTTTTACCATAGCACAGGTTGGGGTGAGAATGTTTCCAGGGTTCAGGACCCTGATTGGCTGACATTTGTCTAGGGGTATCTGTAAAACAGAAATAGGTGTGTGTGTGCTAGACTCAGGGACATCTGGCCATCTTGTCTAACCTTATCTAATGATTAGACTGTTTGAGATATTAGGTACTTTCCTTTGGGTGTAGGCCCTCCCTCGGTGGGGTCAGCTTTTGGCTTTTCCTGGATCTGGGTGTTGCCTGCCAGTAAGCCTATCACAGAAGCTGTGTCTGGGCATCTAAGTCTGTCATGGCAGCTGTGTGGTCAAATGGTTTTGGACACCCCCCCCCCCATAAGCCTCTGCAAAATATGACTCATTGCCATATTCTGGGAACCCCTGAATGGTCCTGGCCAGAGTCCATCATCCTGACTCGTATTTAAAGTTTGCTTCAAATGTGGCTCAAAAAACTGCGGAACTGGTCCTTTCTCATGTGATTCTCGGGTTTAACAGCGTAGCATGGGAGCTCTGTGGCACTGTAGAGCCATCGGCCACTCTGAGGCAGACTTGGAGAAGCATGGCCTTTTAAGACAGAGCCTTGGAATCTGCATTTGACAGGACAGCTCATCAGGTCCATACAGCTGGATCATCAGCCTTGACCTTAAGGTCTTTAGGAAGAGAGGGCAGCATTAGTTAAATTTTAAAAAGTGTCCAGCAGGCTAGTTGAGATGACGGTGTGTGTGAAGTGACATACACTGAGTCAGAAAGCGATACGGAACCGGGTAGAAGGAAAAGGAACAGACAACCGTGTGAGACCTGTCACCACTGCCAGGAGGAGCTGGGTGTGTCCTGCTGTTAGTTTTAGTGACCCAGAGGCGGCAGATACTATTCTTCCTGCTTAACAGGGTAGGGGGAGGGGGTGAAGGTTCAGGGAGGTGATTCTCAGGCTCTGTTCGGGAAGAGCAGGAGGCCAGCACCATAGTCAAGGTCATTCATAGGTCTTTAGTACCCCACAGTTCACCAATGAAAAAGATACGCAATATGCTAGTTTATAAACTCCATTTACGGTACTTTGAATGTTAACTATTTAGATATTGAAAACCAATTTATACATAAGATAGCATACTTTCAGGGCTAAGCATTTTCTTTTTCCTCTTTTTCTTTCCTTTCTTTTGGAGATAGGGTCTTACTATGCAGCCCTGGCTGGCCTGGACTTAGCTATGTAGACCAGGCTAGCCTCACATTTATAGACATCTGCCTACCTCTGCCTTTTGAGTGCTGGGATTAAAGGTGTGTGCCACTATGCCCAGCAATGCTAATTATTTTAAGGTTAAAAAAACATGTATATACACCTGTACACAGATACACACACACACACACACACACACACACACACACACACACACGGAGCTATTACTCTAACAGAGCTGTGAAAAGTCTGTGGAAGGATATGTATTCCAGTGGAAATTTGTCATAGCCAGAAAATAAAACTAATATTTAAACTAAAAACCATTGATCTTTGTGTTCTTCATTAAGCGGTGCTGTTTGCCATTCGAGAAAAGCCACGAGGTATAACAAAACCCACTATGAGAGTTTATGAGGGGAAGGGAACAGAAGGGATGTGCTTAGGCCTATGGGAATGATCATATAGGAAAAAGGGTAGAGGGATAGGTGGAACCCTCTTTTATAGAGTCCCCCCCACATGCGCATATGGGCTTACATAGCTACACCACACATGCACATAGATTATGTGATCACACTGCTCACAAATTACATGATCATGCTGCTTGCAAATTACATAATCACTCAGTGCACGGATTACTT